GACTTGTCCGAGCATTTACATTATCATCGATATTATTAATTTTATCAGAAGATAAAGTGCTAGATTTATTTTCAATCGAAACAGCAACACTGTAATTTACCATAACTAATTCCTGTTTAACATTTATTATAGATTTTAATAATATTACTTATGTAATAATACAAATAGTATAATAATAATGATACTATTTGTATTATTACATAATAATGTAATATTACCATTACTATTTATTTAGTAGTAGTATTACTTATTCCAAAACGTTAACAGTTAACATGTTGAAATAAATCATGCATAAAAGCTTAGGTTAGAAATTTTCTAAATTTCCACTTAAGACTTGAAATAATAAAATAATATTTACAAAACAAATCTAGTTCATAAGGTAAAAATCTGAACCGCCCAGTTGGTATGGTGGTCAGGGAAGCTGACTGGGAAAGGCAATGGTGGCCTACCTATTAGGTGCCTCCATAATAAAGAGACCACCACATCCGGCCTTGTCTATATTAATGGACTGGGTTACATTTGTGATTGTTCACAATCTGCCATTGGAAAAAAAGGTAAAAATCTGATGTGGACTCCTCAATGACTTCCTTCTATACCTATTAAATTTACACACATTTTTTGCTATATTTCCTTTAAACGTATTTCCTCGAATTATTTTAACTTAATTCAGCGATCCTTTAAGATAAATTTGAAATTAACATCAAAAATTGCAAATTCTGAGATTAAATATCCTGTTTTTTTTTTTTTTTTTTTTTTTTTTTTCGTACTGAAGTCAGAACTTCGTAAGGAGATGAGTGCGTATATATATATACACTTTCGGTACTTCCGATTGTAAAAGGAGGAGAGGTGCAAAACTAGATATTATAGCAGTCCCCATATACAAAACGTCAACGTTCTATGATTACTCTTTTTTGAGTTATAATAGAGAGACATACATAGGTACGTACAGGCGTCACGGAAAAAATCCATTTTACAATCATCCTTTAGTTTATTCCGTACGTACAGACGCCAAGCCAAAAAAAAAAAGATTTGGAAGCGATCAAAATGAATGTTTCCCTTGAATATGAAACTCGAAAATTTTCGCTATTACAACCTCTACATCGTACAGGGAAATAAAAGAGAATTAATAATAAAAAACTTATTCTTACTTGATTCTGATTTAAAGCATGAATATTCACTATCTGATTTTTATGCTGCTCATAAACTGGTTCATTTAACCAGAATGAACTGTAGCGCCCTATTTCCCGAAGTTACACTATGCCCCCGCAGATATGACAGGCAATAAATAATCAAATGCGTTCGAAACTAAATACCATTACGCAAAAGTGAGAATATAATCAGATTTTGTTTTTTACAACTATTAACAAAAATAAGTCTAATCATAATTTTGTTAAAAAGAAATTCAACTGGAAACGAGACTCAAACTTCTGCAGCGCGTTCTTTTGGGAGGCACCAATAATAAAAAGAACTAACATCTAATTCAGATCTAATTCATTTAGTTTCGATCTGGAGTTACTTTTATTCAGAAGGAAATATTGAACGCAATTTCAGATTGCATAGTTTCCTAAGAAGAAACATTATTTTGTATATGAGTTCCAATTCAGTATGGCGTCAAAACTTTGAGCTGTATACCATAAAAAATTACTTCAGAGTCAGAAAAAACATGTTCGGATCAGATAAAACAATTTTTTCCAGGATCATGGGATTTTCTATTTCTAACTCTTCAATTTAATTTGAATTTATACAAATTACTTCCGAAAGACAGGGTAGATATTTTCTATTCTTTATATTTCTTCCACTTAATTTGAATTTTAAACGAATTATTTGCAAAAGACACAATGAATCCTTAATAAAATGTTATAAGCGATTCTCTTCTGGTGGTACGCAAGAGAAAAATGCGTGGTAAGCAAAGAAATAAAGTATTCTGAACTATAAAATTTAAATACCCCAACATTCTGTCTTTCTCTTTTTTTTTTTTTTTTTTTTTTTCCCCTTCCATCTAACACTCGTAAATTTATGCGATCTGACGTTTGCTCTAGGTCAGTAGCTGCTCGTACAATGTAACAGAGCAATTCGTTTTTACTTTCACAAATATTCTTTTACCCATACACATAATCAAATTTGTCGCCATTAATTTTTTAAAGTATTAATAGAAATGGATGTTGTATTTAATAGGAAACAAAAATATATTTCTGTAAAAAGATCATCTCATTAATTCTTTTAGATTTGATCGGTTTATTAGCATGTCTACACTTTACATCGCCACCCATTTCCGGGATCACATTGCTCTATTTTTAATTACAATGAATTTTTTACGTCGATTTGCTGTCTCTAACAGCAGGTGTTTTGTTTTCTTGTTTTGTATTTTTTACTTTTCTATGCGATTTAAGAATAACGTTGTTTGAAGAACTAGTAATATATTGTGCATTTAAATATTTATGAAAAATAATAAAACAAACCTAGGTTTTTCAAAATAGAAAAATGGCTAGGATAAGTAGAAGTGATGATTCATAGGCGATGTATCCAGGAGTACTAGTACTGAGAAAATTGAAAAGAAAAGAAAAATTGTTTCTAGAAAATATAAAAAACTTATTTATCATTTGGGTTTACTTGGAATGGAGATGAAATGGACCCTCAACCTCAATGTGTTGTTTGAGGTTAACTATTATCCAAAGTATGAAACCCTCGTTTCTTAAAAGACATCTTGAATCTAAGCATGCCATTTGAAGGATAAATCTGAAGAATATTTCAAGAGGAAATTATCGGAGTTCAAAAATAGTAGACAAATAATGAAAGGTTTTATTACTTCAAGTGAAAAAGCTTTGGAAGCTAGTTACCTAGTAAGCCTAAGAATTGCCAAGACTGGGTAAGCTCACATTATTGGAAAAAACCTGTACAACCAAAAAAAAAAAAAAAAAAAAAAAAAAAAAAACACCAAAAAAAAAAAGGGGGGGCCTGTACAACTAAGATATTACTAGGGTCCCATACACAAAATTTCAATATTTTATAGCGAACCGTTTTTGAGTTCTACAGCACACGTACATACAGACGTCACGATGAAACTAGTCAAAATGGATATTTCCGTTATCCGAAAACCGAAATTTTTGCAATTACAATTCTTCCTTTATTTTGCACAAGAAAGTAAAAATCAGACAGGTGTAAACTAGATATTACAGAAATCCTATATACAAAATTTCAACATTCTACAGCTAACCGTTTTTGAAATAAGCGAAAAATTCTCAAAAAACTTCGAGCAAAGTGTTGTTATGGCACTGCCGATTGCAATGAAAAAGGAAGGTGCACAACTAGATGTTATAGCAGACCCATACACAAAATTTCAACATATTTACGGCTAATTGCTTAATCAACTTCGAGTAACATACGAACTTAAAAACGTAAGATACATACATACGTACACACGTCACGAAAAAAAAAAGCCATTTTACTATCCGTTTTGGAATAAAGAGTCCTTTATTCTGTTTGTACGCACAGATGTTTAGCAAACAATAATAATAATAATAATAAAAAGGATTCGGAAACGGTCAAAATAGATATTTCCGATGAAATCTGAAAATCGAAATTTTTCGCAATTACAGTATTTCCTTTATTTTGTACAAGTAAGTAATAAATTTGATTTATTAGCAGTAACATTTAATGCTATATGAACCTTGTTCAAATACTTTTTACTGTAAAGAATTATTCATTACATGCAGGTACAGTATTATCGTAAGTATTTATATTTCAATTATGTATTTATCTGGAAAATCAATTAATAAATTTACTTACAGCCGCTTATTATGATGATAATGAAATTTTGTTAAATAATTCGTGGCTATCGCTATAAAAATAGATTTAGAATTAGTTGTTGCTTTTAGTGATTTTGTGCTTTGTATTCCTGCAGAAATTTTATCGCAGTTGCTTCCATCCTACAAATGTATATTTAAAAACTGAATTTAAGATTTATAAGTATCACGATTTGTCTATAAAAGCCATTAGAATTTACATTAGAGTACAAAGAATACGCATGATAATGTCGGTATTGCTTGATGAAACTAAATTGCTTTTTCTATGATTGCAGAGCAGTCAAGTCGCTGAACACTCATAGTTCGGTCACCGGGGATCGAATCCTGGCGAACTGGCTGATTGCATGGGTGGTTTCTTGGTTTTCCTGCATGGGTGGTTTCTTGGTTTTCCCCATGTGTAACATGCATACGAGCCAGTTTTCCTTAAAAATTCCTCCACGAAGACATCCCTCCTTTAAGTAGATATCCCCCTCGAGTGCTTTGCCATAATCAAATAAACCAACCCATGGTCGCAATACTCTTGAACATTCTGAAAGTATTGACGGCTTCTGCAAGATAGTTGGGCTAATAAGTATCATTTTTAATAAACTGTGATTGCTATAAAACGTAACGAATTATAACATGAAATCTACAGCTTGAAAGAATGTATGGTCTAAAAGGGGAGAGAAGGATTCCCGACGGAACTACTGATTTCTACAAAATAAATTAATTAAAAATTAAAATTTTTAAAAAAGAAAAAAAAATTTCCTTGCGATGCACAGTTTGCAATTAATAACTCTGTTCAGTTTCGTCCGGTTTTAAAATTAAAAAATAACTTTTATGAAAATCTGACTAACTTTTGCTTATTAAATAAAATGATTTGCAAAAAGTAACTTTAATTCTACAAAAGTTAAAACTACATATAGCTTAAAAATCGCAAATGCAAACAAATTCAAAACAAAATGTACATTCAAAACACAATTGTTTTATTTTACAATACAACTCTGCACAATAAAGTTAACAAAATAAATCAACTCATGAAATGAATCAAAAACTTCACTGCACACAATGTTTCGGTTAAAAATATTGATAAGCATTAATTAACATCGATCAGCAAAGTGCGTCTACGCCAACACATTTTTATTTTCTCTTCGCCGTTTCTAATATTAGAAGAACAGTGAGGAACGACAATACTTAAAACAAACATTTGTTACTTACCGAATTCACTAGAGACACAAATTCATTAAAAGAAATATTGCATTTCGTTATTCTGCAATTACGTGAGTATCATAAATCACATCGCACATAAAATACAATGTGAAAGTCACCACAAAAATTGCAAAAGTTTCCACAGCAAACGTCGAAAATTTAGGCACCACATCACAGGAAAATGCTTTATGGTTAAGTATTATAAATTACAAGCACATATCTTTTTTTTTTTTTTTTTTTTTTTTTTTTTTTATACCTTGAAAACTTAAAAAAGTAAGCTTCCTATCTGTTATAAATTCCAACCTTAGAGATAAAATTTTGACTCTCCAGTGTCATGCGCAAAGAGATCAGTTCCTGTTCTCCTAGCATTCCGTTTGCTTGCTCTCTTTCACAATGCGATTACGACAGATAACCACGAAATTGTCTGATAACCTAGGTGTCTCTGAATAAGCTCAGAAGCAACAATACAACTGACATAACACTTATACGATAGAGACGAAAAAAAGAATGAGGAAAAAAAGGATGATTTTAATAACTTTGTATGCAAGCAATAAGGAGTTATCTTCCGAAGAAATCAATAGTAAAATCGCATCAATATTGTCCGCCAAATCACTACGGTTGAGCGCGTGACTAAGATCTCAACTGAACGTAAATAACTGCAGAAGCATCCATTTACCGAAATGTCACTAAACATGCGTGCAGGAATGTCTTTTAACGTGCTCTTTCCTCACAAGTGAAAACAAAATCATACTTAAACGCAGTTTACAGCAACTAAACTACATAATAATATATATATATATATTTCCTCTTTGCCTACATTCTATTTTACTTCTACTATAAATTGAAACGATCAATTACAGTATTTCATCACGTAGTCCCCCCTTTCTTCACTAATTTTATCACTTGAAAATCTACAGGGGAAAATTATGCGAATAATTTAATTTCCGAAAGACGCGGCAGATACAGTAAGAACACAAAAAATGAAAAGTAGCCATAGATAAATTACACGTAATTATCACAATATTATTTCATTAAAAGAAACCTACATTTCAATAAGAATACATAGTAATTCCCAATCGAATCTTGCTCGTTCTTATTATTGTCTTTGCTGTTCCTTAGGCATCAAATCATACGTAAATAATTAGAGAAGATGAATATGCAGACGATTCGGCGAAATCGTAGACTAAATGTCATTTCGCATTTGCTTCGTTATGAAGTGTAGGTTCTTGTATTAGGCTGCTATAAATTTCAACAGTTAGGAAGGAAAGATTCGGCGTGACTTTCGCAGGTAATTTGCGTGAGTTTGTCTTTGTTAGTACGACGAACAATCACTACATGGACGAATAGACTTTAGATTTTAAAGAAATGGTTCTCTGAGCGCATTGTGGAAGGGGGAAATAACGCGATTATTTTTTAGATGTTTCAGAACTTAAGAGCTAGAAAACCAAGCCGGAAAATAAGCTAGTTACGCGACCGAGTAACAGAATGCATTTATATATAGATAGCACTGTTCCCTACTCTTATCGTGGTTTGAGATCATCAGTCACGGATAACTAATGAGAAATAAAATCTACTGTTAAAAAGACGTTCTAAAGAAACTGACAATTCAAATTAATATCTTATTACATCAGAAAATACTGCAAGGAATAATATATGAAAAGATCATACTACTGTTTCGGAAGAACAATGACATAATAGCAAAATTAGTCTGATGACTATGGGTGTAATTTAACAATATCCCTTTGTGAATAAATACTATTAAAAAGTAATCAGAATATGCTATCAATCAGCCTTGCTCTCATTTTTATCAATTATTTTCTCATTTTACAATTACAGTTACCCATAATTTAGGTGTAATATCTTAATTTTTCTCCTCCGATTTCGTGAAAAATGGAGTTAGTTTTGATATGATAGTTGAGATATGTTTTGTTTCATTTTTAAAGCAATTTTATTAAATACACATTAAGTTTAACAAATCGTATCGAATAGCTAAAATGTGTGCTTAAATATTCCTGGCAGATCAATAACCTCTATTATTAAATAATGATGAATCTGTATGTATAGATGTGTATCTATTTTATTTATGTATAGGCATCAAATTTTGAACACACATAGTCCTCCGCCCGAACATTGTACTCGAAGCCCGAATTTTGAATTTCTAATTTTTTTATTTCATATTTTGTATGAATTTAATGAATTTCTGAATAATAAATTCAGTGATCTGAAAGTAAGCAGTGGTAACACTTCTAAATAAAAGATTTTTTTTTTCCTCCGACTTGCCAGACTGTTGCCATGCCGCAAAATAAAAGAAATTTATCTTTTAATTTCAATCAAAAAACTTTAAAACAATGTGTCGCTACTGCCTGAAATAAAATTTTTTTATCTTTCATACACTCGTGTGAATTGGTGGGAGAGGAGAGAGGTGGGAGACTCCCGGATCCTCTCCGGGGTGCACTTCTTCAAACATCGGGGGGCGGAAAATAGAAGTACAACCTCTCTTCGGAGTAGGCTCTGGCAAAAAATGTTCCATATAATATGGACAAGACAACAATAACCAGAGTGTTGCCATTCAGTAGAGCGCAAGATAGTTAACGTTCAAATTCAATCTACCTGTAATTAACATACAAAGTCCGTTCTTAAGAAGACTTTTTCTCCTTTTTAATCTGATTGATTTAAACAGACATAAGAAGACTATTTCTTCGTTTTAATGAGACTCATTTAAATAAAAATGCATTTAAATTAGGATATGTCCAATTAGAAATAATACGTATTTTTATGATATTACACTAACTACATTAAAATCATTGTACATTTTCCCGTTTTATAACTATTTAAGGCGGCTGGCCTCGTAAGAGGCTAGTTTTCTAAAAATGTAACATTTATTCAGAACACTAATGTTCATAAAGAGCAAAATTTTATTATTTTACCATACAAAATTCTGAATTAATTCGTGCGTAGAAAGATACTTTCATATACAATACATTCAAGACGAACAATACAAATATTACATCATCTTTCTGAACAAAAAGCATTTTATTTTCCAATGGAAATGCATAAAATGGGTCACTCTCAGTGATTCCCGCATTCTCTTCCGTCTACGATGCTAAAAAGGGAGAAATCCTACAGCGAAATTCTGTAACAGATAAAATTCTTCTAAATAGGTTAACGTACGACTTTGAATATATTTTAGTTTGATAATATCTACTTTCAGTTAGTTTCGAGACGTGAATAGATTATCACAGAATTCTTTCCGAGATTTCCTATAACATCGTTATTCCTGTAGCAAGATCCGCATTTCCAGCCAAAATTGTTTGCATAAAAATTGTCCTACTGCTACTCAGGCACACTTAATTCATCATAAATTTTCTTCCTTAATTAATTGTAAGTTCTAAAGCTTAAGCGTTAATATAAATTTATTATTTTCATTATTATTCGTTAATTATATTTTTCAAAAAATAAAATGTTATTAAAAATTTATAGTTTATTTTCAAATCGAGAATATAAAATATCAGAAAGAAGACTGCAATTATTTGGTTGTTCTCAGTTTAAAATCCTTTCCTGTCACTATGTATATTATTATACACAGTATTTACTCGCGTACATTAGTATAATTATAATTTTTAATAATTTTATAGTTCGAAAATCGCGAGAAGAAAATTATACAAATCATTTAATTTCCAACGAACGCCACCATAGAAAGCTGGACATGAATATGAAAACATGAATATGAAACTATAAATAAAAAGATGCTGCCTCGACTAATACGGAAATAGGAAGTCTTTTAGGAATGGATATAGGTCACGTATGCTTTGCAATGAAATCTTGTAATATTCTCCCTGTAAAACTATTCGAATACCGGTGGAATGTCATTAGACGTAACATTAACCGAGGGCCACGGACGCAAACCCTGAATGATCTGCGTATAGCACTAGACGTGGCTTGGCAAAGGCTACCAATTTTATGTGTCAGTTATTTTAAACATTTGCATATCTATCTCACAACTCTCGATCCTACAATTTGCATGAGGCTACGAGCATTCTTTCAACGTTTTTAAATTATGGAATAGGAATATTTCTCTTCGGTAAAAACAAAAACATTCTTCAACACACAGCTTGTTTACATGCGACGTTTTAAAAGAAGAGAAATTTAAAGTAGCAGATGACATTTCTTATTTCAAATAAACTGTTCCAGAAGGGTTTATTCCAAAACATTTGCTTTCTTAAAAAATTGTTTATCGAAATCTTTCTAAAAATTTGTAAACACGTCTTGATTAGTCATGGGTCTTGATTAGCCGATGTTGATGCAATTTGCCGTGACACTGGATTAAGCAGCTCGTGTTTCGCTTCGACCCTGGAACAATGTCGGCAGCTTTCTGGGCAGGATCTTCTAGACAGGGCGTCGGCGTTTCTATGTAGTGATCCCTTCCGATGATGGATAGTTATGTCCTCAGAGGCTGAATGCACTTTGTTATTTTTAAAGTCCAAGGAAAAATTGTATTTCCTTAGAAATTCCAATCCGAGTATAAAAGGAACTGTAATATCTGCCACATATGCCATGTGATAGTAAGCAACACTCCCAAACGTGATGTTTACGTTTAACTATCCATCTATATGTCGATTTAATCATTAGACGCAGTCTGTTCCTCTATAATTTAAGCATGTTTTTACTAGACTAACCCTGCGCTTTCCTTAAAGCGCAAACTTAATTTTAAAAGAATACAGAAGCCAAAAAAAATAGAACGATCTCTAGGGGGAGGGGGAATGGGTATTTTTGTATCAACACTGAAAACAATTTTGGGAGGGGAATAAATAAATAAAAGAGAAGATAGCTGTTTGCGAAAAATCCGTTTCAAAGCAGTTGCGCATTCAAGGCACAAGATTCCTAAGTTCAGGAATAGTTTGCTTAGTTTTTCTTTTTTTAGTACCATGCACCATTTTTTATTGAATGAATCTATGTTCATTGAGAATGCAAAAGAAATAGCATTTTAATTGAATGAGATGTCCTATGTTTGTAATGACGATGTTTTTTAAATGAGTAGCTACATACGTTTAAATTGCTTTATGACAGCTCAATTCATGCCATAAACGGAAAAATCCAATGATAACCCACTGAATCAGTTTAAAGAATCTATGCAAAGAAAGGAGTGACTATCAGTTGAAAGACATTTTTTTTTTAACTTTGATAAACCTTATCTCTTTTGTCAACTCGCGTTTGTCAGAGACATTGTAATTCACTCAATGAGAATAAAGATCGCCTAATTATGTTATTTTGTGCAAATGCTGATGGAAGGAAGAGAATGGTACCTTTAATCATAAGAAGTCCATGTCATTGTGGTATAAAGCAAATGAGAACTAAGGAAGGATGGTTGTAGATAATTTAATTAAACATCTTAACACTTTACCGACCGATCGCCTATTAATCGGCTTTTTATCGCCAACGCCTACCGACAGATCGCCCTATTAATCGGCTTTTTATTGCCAACGTCTACTGATAGATAGCCTATTAATCGGCTTTTTTTCGCTCACGCCTACCGACCGATAGCCTATTAATCGCTTTTTTCTCGGGGTTATCTAAAAATAGCCTATTAAGCGGTAGTCATGGCGATAAACAATTGTCATTTGCTATATCATCTGCATTTCATTATTAGGGAGAATCTGCGGCCGGTCGGACGTGCGTATGCTGTTGAACCGCTAGCGGTCGCATAGTGTTAAGTTAAAATTCGTAGGATAAATTTCAGTTCGCATGATTTTAAAAATAAAGTATCTTAA